TATATAATCAATGGGGAATGGAGATAAGCCCCCAAAAAAAAAATTACAAATCCCATATCTGAATGACAACAGTTGGTCAAATATCCAATTTTCAAATTCCTAGTCCGAGTTATGCATGGAACGGACATTGTAATGTAAACATTGGAGCCAACTCTTGGTCAAAGATCCTGAACTTGGTCAAAATTTATTCAAAACTAGTACAGTATGGAAGTCACCAATTCATTTTTATTTATTGTATGTTATTTATTTGTTTTTGCTTGATCCGACGTAATTACGCAATTTGAAAACAGTGACCTAAGTCTTAATGCATAAAGTAACGGTTAATGGCCCTAACCCCTCAGCTCCTAACTGTAATTTCCTATAAAGGGTTTCGGTTTGGTTCTTATTTCTTAATGCAAAACTTTGTTTACCACGTTAATTTTTTTCCCCCGAACTAGCTATGCTTATTGTACCATTTCTTTTCAAATATAGATTAGGATGAAGATGTAAATTTGTCTCCAAAATTTTTGCTCATAAGAGGTGAGCATCCAAAAAATATTTTGGGTATAAAATTACCCCTAAAGGTTTAAAATTATAGTAATAGTACTTTTTACTGTTTCAAGTTTTAATAGTCAATGTTAAATATTTTAACGATTAATGTTAGTTTTTTATCATTACTATTTATCAAGATTTCAAAAAAAAAAGTCAAAGGGATAAATGGAACGCATAATCAGTTATTTGAGTTTAAAGGGATTTATTTGAACTTTCATCTCTTAACCAAATACCCAAATAGGCACTGAGTGTCGTCAATAAATAATACTCCTCCGATCCTTATTATAAGACCCCATTTGACTTTTTATTTGGTCCTAATTATAAAACCCCAATCCATTTTGTTTCTTATATTTATGCATTTTTTTCCAAGATAATCCTTCTAATAATGATAGTTTTAGCCAATATACTTAATTAGCAAGGATATTTTAGGAATGACAACACTTATTTATTATAAATAACCAACTTAACTTACTTCCTTAAAATCTTCTCAAATAAGTCAATTGGGTCTTATAATTAGGACCGGAGGAGTATCTTCAATATTTAATATAAGAGCTATGTGGAAATTTAATTTGATTCTAAATATAAAATCTCAATTCATTTTGTTTTTTATATTTATTCATTTTTTCAAATTAGTCTTTATTTTAATTTGCACATGTTAAAATTTTCTCATTCTAATATACATGATTAGTAAGACTATTTTAAGAAAGATAGCACCTATTTATTAACAAATAATTAATTTAACTATTTTTATTAATCTATTCAAATTAATTGTATGCAATTCTTATATCAATGAGTATAATGAGTATGAGTAAATACCAATCAGGGAGTATAATTAAATACCAAGCCGTTTAATCTTCAATCTTCACACTCATTGAACCCTGCTATGGATATTGATTAATTAAATTTTAATTAATTTCTTTTTCAGATGATTTTCTCATCGTTTTGTCTTGTAGGTGAAGAACAGTCAATCTATTACACACCATGGCCCACAAAATTCAATCTCCTCCAAAATTAATATGCCCAGTGAGACCGATGATACATGTGCGAGATGAGAATAACAAGAAAAGCAAAATAAGGGACAAAAAACTAGGAAAAATAATTACGCATATTAAACAAATAATTTCAATAACACTGAAAAAAATTCAACGAATTTTTTTTTTGAAAAAAAAACACTACATGGGTTATCTCCTGTTGTTATTAATATCAGGGGAGGAAAAAAGGGCCAGCTAGGCGAACTAATGAGATACACTTATAATTATTGTAATATTTTTTATTTCATTAAAAAAAAACAAATGGGATTTTCAATTTTTAGACATGCGATGGATCAGTTTCAACACATGGATCCCCCTCAATAAAACCCTACCAATCAGTCACTGCATCGCAATCATTCAGGAATGTGGCCCCTTATAGTAGGGTCCACTCTCAATACCTTTTTAAGCCTTTTCAAAATTATTGTACATAATATATGTATATGTATATTTATGCATAAAGTATACATATAAATTAAATAAGGGAAAATCACTAACAGGTCCCACAGAAGACAATTTATTACTCTGAGGTCCCACGAAATGTCAAAATCACTGACAGGTTCCAAGGGACCTCAGAGTAATATTTTCGTTTTGTAAAATGACATTACTGCCCCTCATATTCCAGATTCACATTTGCTCTGTCATTACGATTTACAACCTCAGCAGTGACTATTAACAACCTAATGAGAGGGCGTTAACAACCCTAGCAGTATCCGTAACAACTTACTTTATAGAATTATATAACCTCTACATAAGAGTAAATTATAACCAAATAATATAATACAACAACTTTAACATTAAAATGAGAAGTTTTTTGATATCATTAAGAATTTTAACTAGATCCAATAGGATTATAGTAATATTTTAATGCGAATATCCATTTACAATCTCAACAGAGATTATTAACAACCGAATAAGAGGGCATTAACAACCTAAATAGTAGCCGTTAACAACTTACTTTATAGAATTATATAACCTTTGCATAAGAGTAAATTATAACCAAATAGTATAATACAACAACTTTAACACTAAAATGGGAAGCTTTTTGATATCATTAAGAATTTTAACTAAATCCAATAGGATTATAGTAATATTTTAATGCGAAGATCCATTTACAACCTTAATAGCGACTATTAACAACCGAATGAGAAGGCATTAACAACCTAAGCAGTATCCGTTAACAACTTACTCTATAGAATTATATAACCTCCGCGTAAGAGTAAATTATAACCAAATAGTATAATATAACAACTTTAACACTAAAATGGGAAGCTTTTTTATATCATTAAGAATTTTAACCAAACCCAATAGGATTATAGCAACATTTTAATGCGAAAATCCATTTACAACCTCAACAGTAAGTATTAATAACCTAAGGAGAATTGTTAACAACCTTAGCAGTGTCTGTTAACAACTAACTTTATCGGATAATATAACTTCTAACTATAACTAACTAATTATAACTAAATAGTCTTAAAGTTAATCTTATATAGTTGTTAGAGGTTATATTATCCTATAAAGTCAATTGTTAATAGATACTACCTAGATTGTCAACAGCTCTCTTTGGGTTATTAATACTCACCATTGAGGTTGTAAATGGATCTTCGCATTAAAATGTTGCTATAATCCTATTGGGTTTAGTTAAAATTCTTAATGATATCAAAAAGCTTCCCATTTTAGTATTAAAATTGTTGTATTATACTATTTGGTTATAATTTACTCTTATGCAAAGGTTATATAATTCTATAAAGTAAGTTGTTAACGGCTACTGCTTAGGTTGTTAATGCCCTCTCATTCGGTTATTAATAATCGCTGTTGAGATTGTAAATGGATATTCGCATTAAAATATTACTATAATCCTATTGGATCTAGTTAAAATTCTTAATGATATCAAAAAGCTTCCCATTTTAGTGTTAAAGTTGTTGTATTATATTATTTGGTTATAATTTACTCTTATGTAGAGGTTATATAATTCTATAAAATAAGTTGTTAACGGATACTGCTAGGGTTGTTAACGCCCTCTCATTAGGTGTTAATAGTCGCTGCTGAGGTTGTAAATCGTAATGAAAGAGCAAATGTGAATCTGGAATATGAGGAGCAGTAATGTCATTTTACAAAACGAAAATATTACTCCGAGGTCCCTTGGGACCTGTCAGTGATTTTGACATTTCGTGGGACATCAGAGTAATAAATTGCCTTCTGTGAGACCTGTTAGTGATTTTCCCATTAAATAATCACATTGATTATAACCTAAGGACAGCATAGTACAGACAGACACACACACATGCAAATTCTTAGTAAAAGAGACTCTTACTATATATATTTGATTGGAGTGCAATATGGCCATGTGATTATGAAATTCTTCTAACAAAATACTCTTTTTGAACTTACTGAGTGTTTAGGTGAAAATAAACTATGATTTTAAAAATAATTTTACAGCATATAAAATAAATATGTGAGAAGAGTTATACCTTAATTTAATTTAAGTGAAAATACTTTGCTCTTAGAAGATCCCAAACACTTCCTTAATATATGACTTAATTTAAGAATTGGTATTAATTCTATATGTAAGACTTATTTCATATATTTATTAATTTTTCTCAAATTAATTATATTGATATTCTCTCAATAAGAATCAAATAAGAAATAGAGGAAAGAAATTAAGAAAGATGATTAGAGTATTTCAAGAAAAACATATCATGCTAATTAATTTAATTAATATCATTAATTTACTCTAATTAATTAATTTGGCCTTACATTAAAAACTAAAGGGGTAACAATCATTTTTTAAAAAAAAGAAAATGGAAAGGACAAATAATAAACTCACTCAAACAAATTTATTTTTTATGCAAATGTTAAGCGTCAGTTTATATATTTTAATTAATAAAAAAATTTATTCAACTTTAATTACTGTGATAATTATAGATATAGATAGATAAATATGAATCTTTAACTCGAAAAAGATTTATGAAAAATAATAGAAAAAAACAAAACGCCCTCACTTTAAAAAAAAGTCTCATTAGCCAAGCATGCATTTTTTTAACCAAATTTTAGAACTCCACTTACATGTTTCAACACTTGAGTGAAATTATAAAACTTCAATACATCTTTTGGACATTAGCGGATTTATGATTCTTTTTCTGTTATTTTTTCAACTATTTATTTTTAGTGACTTGAGGGGATTTTTTTCAATTTTGTATTCTTATTCTAACTAAATATGACCCAATTTACAATTTGGTGATCTTTTTCTCTTTCTCCCAAGTCTCAGCTAAACAAGCTCACTCGATTTCTCCTTTCTCTTTCTTCTGCTTCAAATATGTCTTTTGACTTGTGACCTTTTCTCCCACACGCAAATATCTACCCCGTCTCCCCCCCCCCCAATTCTCCCCCCCTCATTCTTCACCGTCCCTCCCCCACCGCTCGTCGCCTCGGTCCTCCGCCATGGGCCTAGCGCCTCATCGCCGTCTTCTCTGCCGCAACGCCCACCACCACCACCAACACAGCCACCGCATACCAACTTTCACGGCCTTCACTTTTCTCTTATTCTCTTCTGCTTCAGCCGTAACCCTCCCCCCCCTACCAAGTAAGTATTCTATATTCTTCACTTGTTTAACTTCAATTTTGGAGTACTTAGTGAATATTTGATGAGTTTTAGCTTTTTTACTCTTTCACATCTCAGTCAACATCTCAAGGCACTGTTCATTTGAATTAATATAATAAACTTAATATCACAAAATAATGATTAATATGGAATTTACGTATATAATCATTTAAGTTCAATTGATAAACTTGTTGGTTTTATTTACTCTTAATTTTATTAATATAAACAAAACCACCTACTTATTCTCCGAAATCTAATAAAATATACAGGAACTACCTCATTATTACTTGTCAAAAGCACTAAAAAAGCTAATTTTTATATTATTATTTTAACTATACAATAAGGTGATGCTTTTTTCCCCCAAAATTTTTGACTGTTAGTTTGTGACCTAATTCTGAATATTTTCCATTTCTACGAAAAAGCAAGATTAGGAAGATCAACATTTCAGAAAAAAAATTTTAAATTATTTTTCTCAGGTGGGGGAGGTTTCAAGTCGCAGTACTACTTTCAGAGTGAAGAGAAGGAGAACGGGTCGTCATGGACGGCGGCAACAGTGACGGTGGCAGATCAGAAACGAAACGGCGGACCAGGGTCGTTTCCGCCGTCGTGCAGATCCAAGTGCGGGTGGTGTTCACCGTGCGAACCGGTTCACGTGCCGGTCCAACCGGGTGTGAGCATGCCGCTGGAGTACTATCCAGAAGCTTGGCGCTGCAAATGCGGGAATAAGCTTTTCATGCCTTAATCTGAACAGTGCACGCCAAGAACACAAGAAGCACAGCTAAAATTCTTCTTCTGCTTCTTGTTATTATCGTCATATATCGCAGAAAATTCAAAATTCTCCATTTTGGTATCTGATATATATATTTGATGATCTCGATCTTGACACAGCCACGACAAGACAGTTCAAGAACTTAGATATATATACACTATATATATACTCCTACCTTCTTCCTCTTATTATTATTATGAACTAGAGGAGTTAGACACTAACAGATTGAGATTATGAGTGGATTGAATCCACGGTATGTATATTAGATTACAGCTGTTATTATTATTATATTACTATTGTGACAGTCTCGTATGTGAATCAGTGAAAGGTGATTTATTGTGTATTATTAGCTTATTACGAGGTTTATTTATTAGCATGTTGGGTTTTTTTTTAAAAAAAAAAATACTTCTTTTTGCTGATCTCTGTGAGGAGGCGCGACAGAAGGAAACGTTGGGAATGTAAGATTCTGAGTGAGATTATCAAGAGGGATATCTTAAAACCACCCTTCTTCTTCACTCTATGCAAATTTCCACTTTTGTATCATAATACCCCTAAACTTCTTAATGTAAAATTTGTTTTATAGTGCAAATTATATATATTAAAGACAGGAGAAGTATTAATCAATCACTACATATGTCAATACTATAACATATAAAAGGGGTGTTTAGGTGAAACAGCAAGTACTTTAAAAAAAATACTTTCATGCTAATGGAGATAAAATTCTTTTTTTTATATATTTATTCTGTATACTATAAAATTATTTTTAAAACTACTATTTGGCTTTCAAGCAGACACTCTCAAAATTTGTCTGTGCAATTTTTTAAGATTATTTTAATTAGTGTGAGTGTGAGTTTTGTATGTTGTATAGAGATTCATAAATAGTGCAGTTTGTTAAAGTTTTTGTGAATAGTGTATATGGTATAATTCATTCCACACGTATCATATTTTAGGCTTAAATGTTAAAAAATTATTATGCCTGCGCACTTTGATGTAAAATTATTTGTACATTGACTTGGTCAAAATGGTTTAGAAAATCTATTTTTAAATTATATACTTTTCTGGTCCTAAATATAGAATTCATTTTATAGACTAGAGGAGTACAATAATACTTAGAGAACAAAAAAATATATTCAACAACGATCCATTAAATGGGTTAACTATAAAGATCATATGATATTGTCGAGTTCTATTAACAATTAATTTTTTAAATAGACGATTAATCAGAAGATCTTGCTCAATAATTTCATTAAATGATCACTTCGACCTTCCATTGTTTCTTTTTAGAAACTCTATATTATTTGATCAATTTTCCTCACCGACGTAAAAAAACAATTATATGATTTGTTTTGAGAAAAAAGAATAATAAAAAGATGGGTGACATGACTTGTCTTCCTTTGACTACAGCACTAAAATAAAAAATTAATAGGTTTTGATGTGCAGGTTTCTGTGTTATCATATATAGGTTTGAACTGTGAATGAATTGAAGAAGGTAGAGGGAATAGGTCAAATCCAATTGATATATATATATATATATATATGTGTGTGTGTAATGATATTGATCGTTCATTGTACTGATTGAATTTACTATACACACAATGTGCCATAATATAGCGTCACTGTTTGTTTTGGTGCATCAATCAAGTTTGTGGGTGTGTGTGTGTGTGAGATATGGGAAGTGTAAGTATTAAATAGTTGTTTGTTTGGTTCTGCCGGGAATTATAATTGCAGCCATATGATATGTCTCCTCTTTCTCAGTACTGTCTCCTTCACGAGGACCTCCCCAAAATCAAAAATAAGAAGAAGAAGGAGAAGGAGAAGAAAAACATGCATATTGGGTATTGATCCAAAAATTAAAAAAAAAAACAAAAAGAAAATGGTTACTTTATGTGTGATGATTCAACATCAGTCTACATTTTCTTTCTTACTACTGTTTAAATAAATAATTGATTCTTATTAATTACCATCTCCGATCCTACGTATATAAAAATTAATTAGTGTTTTTTTATTTTAAATATAAGATTTTAATTCATTTTATCTCTCAAATTTATATTGCATTTGGTTGTTTTTCTAAGATTCCAAAATTTGAATTGATCTTGTTTTATTTATAATATCCTATTTAGAGGTGTCTGAACATTAAATGCGTTTTTACCAATTTTGTCTTTAATTAGTTTTCTATTATCTCTCATTATATTTTTTTGATACCGTATTCTCTTTTGGGAGAATGACAGAACAAGAAGTTGGAAATTACAAATCCCAAATCAGGTTTGGTAACACAACTTTATTTGGTATTAAAAAGTCTGAATTTACAAATAACAACAAATTTTTGTTAACATTCCTTGTTTAGTATTTAGAAAATTCTAGCTTCCTTTTGTGTCATTGTTCCTTCTCTTCTCTTGTCATTTATCTCATTTATAATATTTCTCTATCTTATTTGCCCCTTTAGTAAATAAGGATATACTTGTAAAAAAAATGGGTCAATTTTTATATATTTCTTACTTTTGATTAATTTTAAGCATTTTCTTAAACAGTGTAATCTAGTTAAAATAATCTTATAGAAAGGATTGGGGAGAGTATTTACCAAGCTATCTTTTGTAGGGGTAATAATTAATCAGAGTAATTTAGAAAAATCTACAAGCATTTGTTATAAATGATTAGTTTAACTATTTTTTAATATATATAAATTAATTATCTAACAAATACATTTGCGATTGGCTTGTACATTATATCAAATTCTGATAGATAGAATTTTACACAGAAAATAAGGACAGTAGTATTGAGCCCTGGCAGCGGGCTCCACAGTAATAATAAGCAGTATGAGAAAATCAAGAAAAATCCCGAAAGAGAAAGTACATTTGTTTTTTTCTTTGTTTTTTATTTCCTTTACAGCTTGTCACTTCTGTGATATATCTTTCTTGCCGGTCTGGATTACCCATTTATTCGTGAATTAATAATAACAACATAGAGTTTATAATAAATCACAATCATACGCAAAAGTAATTTGATTTATTTCTCAGGAACTGTTTGGTTGAACTTTTCGAAAATCTAAATATTTTTAAATAGATATAATATTATTTTTACTACTAAAGATAAAAATATTGTTTCAATTTGTTTTTATTTTATAATTTTAAAATTAAATTTGAAAAATACGTAAGTGGTTGGTTGGTTCAGTTTATTGATCCAACTTCTAAAAATTAAAAATAGTTAAATTTCTTAAAAAAATTTAAATTTGATTTTTTTTTTTTTTAGTTTTTGGGATGTCTAACTAGTTTTTAAGAATCAGTATAGAATTTTTTAGCCAAAGACCCCTTGGCCTAGTGGCGTGACGAGAATGGGGTTCTAATTCGAAAAAAAAAAAGGAGTATTTCTGAATTTTAAAAATAAAAATATCCTTTGTACTTTAGTTTCAAGAGAAGAAATATGAGACTTAACTGTTAGAAACTGTTTTTTTTAATGAATTAAGTAAGACGAATTTTATTATTTCCCAGCGGTTTTAATTTCTGCTGTCTGCTACTTCTAGCCAAACCACCTCTTAATATTGGGAAATAAAGGTTCTTCAAATGTAACTTTTTTTCTTTTCACTTGTGTAATAAAGTGTGAAGTTTGACTTTCTAAAAAAATTAAGGTTTTTTACTGATAAAAAAATTCAGCAAATTTAAATGACAGTATTTATTTACCTTTGTGATTAGATCATATCCCTCTTATCCTTAATATAAGAACTAATTTAATTTTTAATTTAATTCTAAATATAAGATCCTAATCTACTTTGTTTTTTATATTTATCTATTTTTTTAAAATAGTCCTTATAATAATTACACATGTTAAATATTTTATCAAATAGTAGTCTTAACTAATACACATAATTAGTAAGGGTATTCTAGAAAAGACAATACTTATTTATTACAAATAACTAACTTAACTAATTTTCTTAATATTTTCAAATTAATCAATTAGATATTATATTTAGGATCCAGATAGTACTACCTTTAGTCCTTAATATAATACCTTATTTAACTTTTATTTTGGTTCTAAATATAAAATCCCAATTCACTTTGTCTCTCATATTTATATATTTTTTTCCTAAGTTAGTCCTTCTAGCAATAGTAATTCTAACTAATACACTTAATTAGCAAGGATATTTTAGAAAAGACAACACATATTTATTACAAATAACTAACTTAACTTCTTTCCTTAATTTTTTTAAATTAGTCAACTGACTCTTATAATTAGGATCGAAAGTAATATATAAGATGCCAATAGCTAGTTGTCCCAATGCAATACCCTCCGTCACGCTTAGATAAGGTCTCATGTTCAAACTTATATCAGGAAAAAAAGATATATACAAAGTATTAGATGCACATTTAGTTTTCCTTCTTCTTTTTTTCCCCCTCAACACAAAAATCACATATCGCCCTTTTCCTTTTCAGATATAGCTTTTGTGCCTTGGGTGTCTCACAATGGCACAATGCACACAGCCTTCCGTGAAAAAGTGAACTTTCACAGCAAATCATATAAGTTTTAAATCTGGAAAACATAATTAAAAGAATTTAACTATTCTTATACACCATTTTAATTCTATATATATATATATATATATATTTTGACACACACACATGACAATGAGCTAATGCAATGATTGTGCATCCTTGGCGTTAAAATGGCCCCCCATTTAGTGGCCTCATTTGCCATCCTTTTCTTCAAAAGGAGACGAAGAGGATGCTGACTCGTTGATAAATACTATCAAAGAATATGGATAAAAAGAAGGATAAAGGTGCATGCAATGTTATGATCTTATTTTTTTAGGTATATCTGATAACATCTTGATTTTTTATATGATACATTCAGCACTTTGATTTTATTTTTCTAGTGGATCTAATAACTATAGAAACTTGAGTGAAAACTATGTGATGACTTACTTTTAATAAGTACTTATAAACACTTTTTTATAAATTAAGACAAAATTTTCTTAACATACT